GGAAGGGGGAGGGCGGGGAGCCTCCCGGCCAGTCTGCGGCGAGCAGATTCAAAACAAAACAGGGAGATTAAAGGAGCCGCGGCGGCCGCCCAGCCCCGCGCTCCGCCACCCGGCTGCACCAGCCGGCGCCGACCGGGGCCATGCGCGCGCTGCGGACCATCGTGGACATGTCGTACGCCCGCCACTTCCTGGACTTCCAGGGCTCCGCCATCCCCAGCGCCATGCAGAAGCTGGTGGTGACCCGGCTGAGCCCCAACTTCCGCGAGGCCGTCACCCTGCGCCGGGACTGCGCGGTGCCGCTCCCCGGGGACGGAGAGCTCCTCGTCCGGAACCGGTGAGCCCCACGCCCCCCGGGCCGAGCTCAGGCTCCGCCGCCACGGCCACTCGCCTAGGCAGTTCGCCCGCCGCCATCTGGCGAGCGCGGCTGCTGGTTCCGGGGCGGTGGCGCGTCCCGATGTCGCCCGGCGGCCTCCTTGCTGAGGCTGATTTTAATTTGGGATTCCCTTCCCCTCCCCCAGCCCGCCTCCTCCCCCTCCCGCCCGAAATAAAACCGCTGCGACCCAGTAGGGAGGCTCCCCTCCTGGCCCACCCGCACCCACGGCCACCGCGCACAGCGAAGCTTTCCGGGCAACCGGAGCTGCCCGGACGCACTCAGCGACATTTGGGGACAGAGGACGTGGGGCAGCGGGGGCGGCGCCTCCTGCCCGCCAGGTGGGAGGCCGCGCGCACTGGGGGGCCAGCGGTGGGGTGTGTTCCAGTGCACCTCGCCCGCGGCTCCTGCGTGTTGTCAGTGCTGGGTGACTGTGGGCTCTACTCTGGAAGGACAGCGGGACTCGGGTGCCGGGCAACTGGGCCAGGGTGGGGGCGCTGTGCATTTGCCTACAGGTTTGCTGACCGACACCGGTGGTGTGACTCTCAGGTCACTTCCTGGCCCTTAAGGTCCCTCATCCCGCCCCCACCGAGGGGTATTTCCACGTGACTGCGCTCTGGTCACCGGCGAAGCTGCCGGGAGGCTGGGCCCTCGCGCTGCCCGGAGCCCTGCTCCGCGCTGGGTCTGCGCACCCAGGTCCCCAGACCTTCCAGGAGCTGGGAGGATTGGCCGTAGGAGAAGCAGTGCTTGGCTGGCTGCGGAGCCCGGTCCGAAGGCGAAAGCTTCGCACGTATGGAACTAAGTCATATTATTGAAGGGAGGAGTACGTTGTGATTGTAACCACGTCGTAAATTGTGTGCCAGGTAGTACCTAGCGCCCATTCCAGCGAGGGGCGGACGCAGCGTGCCTTGCCCTAGGAAGGCGCCGGATGCAGCGTTTACTCGGCCCGGGTTAGAGCTTCGGCGCAAGGCTGAGATTTAGGGCTCGAAGCGTGATAGAAACCTTGAGAAACCTGTTGGGAACATATGACGGCGTGAACCCGGGGCAAGGCTGGGGAGGGGGATCGCGGGGGGGGGGCACCTTAAGAGGTAGGGAGGGGATGTTTCTTCTCTAGAAAGTTTGCGGCGCTGCGGAGGACTCCTTGAAGGAGTTGCGAGGACAGACCACCGCATGCCTTCCTGAAGAAGGACTTGGTTGTGCGTCCAGGAACAAAATACCAACCGCAGTCGGTGTTTGCTAGAAGCGGAGGCAGGACCCAGAAGAGAAGCCGGCGAACTTCCACAGCCAAGAGTGGTTCCCTCTCTGTTTCCCACCGAGGATCCCGTGGGCTGTGGACTTGAGTGCGCCGACACAACTGCTTGGAATAAAAGCCTTTTTTAGAAACTTGGTGTGGAATTGGGACGGGATGGCTGGGGGACGAGCAGGGGAAAGAGCAATGACAGAATGGCCAAGCGCTGCCGTGCCTTGGCGGGTGTACCTGCCTGGTGGAGCTGCTCAGGCCCGCCTGCCGCGCGCGCTCTCCCGGGCCTCTGCCCCTGCGAGTGTTGAGTGCGTACTTGGGTAACTTTCCTTCCAGTGCTCTTCGCCCTTCAGGCTTACAGATGCCCTCCACCCCCTCCTGCTGCCTTCCCAAAGGACCGCTCCCAGGCGGCGCCTAGGCCACGGGGCCCAGGCTCACTGTGAGCCCTGGGCCGCCACCAGGGTGAATCCAAAGGCGAGCGCAAAATGGATCCCTGGATTCCATGTTGAGGGCACAGAGCCCAGGCTCCCGGATTTGGAGAGCTTCGCGTGGGTGGCTCTCGGGTCTCTGCTGCTCTTTCCCCCTTTAGTATAGAGTGTGCATTTCACAACTTGACCTTTAACGTCCACCTTGAAATCTAAAGGGAATGAATGGCCGGTTTTCGGTGTGTTGGGAAGAGAACTCTGCTCTCCTTTCGCCCCCTGAGCTGTAGACTGGATCTCCATGCCTGTAGATAAGTGCCTATGGACGTGACATTTTACCGGTCTGGGCTTTTTTTATTGTTATTATATTTTAAAGAATGGGGGCTTGATAATTGTGTGCAACCTCGTTCCTTGTAATCTAGACCAGATCGCTCCTGAACTGCGGTTAATTGCATTAGGATGTTAAGCACACACTCCTCGATTTGATCATCCTAAACCCTGATTTGGAATGAATGGCTGGAGCCCCACTTCACTTGTTTGGGAAGTGTTGGGAGGTTTTCTTTGTGCGCTGTCAGGCTTTTAGCTTTCCGTGGAACAATCGCACACCGCATTCCATCAAAACAGAAAATACAATCCCTTCCTTATTTGCAGGGGAGAGAAGCTATTAAACCAGACGCAAGTGTTGGAGTCAGAAAGGGTTCCGTTTCAGAAAAGTGTGGCAAGAGGCGGGTGAATGCCCTTTTGCCGCGGCGGCAAGTAGCGCCTGGTGCCTTCGCCCAGGTCCTTCCTTACTGTTTTTGCTGGGGCGTTGGGGGTCACTTCCCTGAGTAGCCCCCCTCCACACCTATCCCACCGAGCAACGGAAAAAGGGGGAAGAAAGGCCACACTTAAGTGTGCATCCATATTCTTTCCAGTGTTTTTCGTAAGCGGTTGGCAGGCGATTTCGTTTCCAAATAATTCTAACGACTTTTCTGCGCAGCATAAGAGACTGGAGCAGGGAGTTTGGCGGAATGGCCAGGAGGGGAGGGGAGGACGTGTTGATGAACGGTTTGTTGCTTGCTTGCGGGGCGGGTAACTGTATTTCTGCAGATTGTCAGGGCCGACATTTTTTTTAAGGAAGATCTCCTTTGGAGGAGTTAATTTTGCCTCCCAGGATCTTCGCCTTCGCTGTGGACTGGTGGCTTCTGCGCTTTGTTTTTTTGGGGTTTGTTGTTGTTTTGTACAAAGGACACCCCCCTTTTATTGCCCTGTTTTTACAATAAAAAGAAAGCAAGCTTGGGCACTTTTTAGGAAAAACCCGGAGACTTGGGAAGGGTATCGGGAGTGTAGAAAGCCCACGAAAGCCTCCTTCTTTTTCTTGGGGTCCTGCAGCCGCCACCCCCTACCCCAGTCTGGTGGCTGAAATAAGGCACTCATTAAAAGTGCACGTTTTCCACCACCTGGGAGTGGGAGACCCCAATGCACCAATGTTTCCTGCTGTCTCCCCTTTCCTTTTGCGAGACTGTGGCCCCTTCCTGCTGCTCTTGAACTTGGGTCGCTGGAGGCAGGCACAGGCACAGGGCTTTGGACCCAGCTTCTTCCTTGAAGCCCAGGTAAGGACTGGGGGGGTGGGTGGGGTGGCTTCCCAACCACTGGAGGGGCTACAGGGGCCCTGCACCAGGGCTGGGCAACCCGAAAGAGCAGTGTGAGGAGTGGGGCCCCCACGGCTGTGCTCCCAGCAGTAGCCTTCCTCACTGATGACCAAGTGACTTAGAAGAATGGGGAGGTGAGAAATGGGGGTGCAAATAGGAAATCTCGCCAGGCTGTGCCACTCCACCCGCTCAGAGCTGGAACTTGATGCGCACACTGCTCAGGGACCTGTCTGCCAGGAGACCGAGGCCAAGGCCTAGGTCTGGACCCCTTGTGCTGCTGCAGGCCCTAGGCATTTCCCAGGCCCATCTTGTGGAACCAGGCAGGCAAGGGCCAGCTGAGCACAGACCTGAGATACAGGTTGGACCCAGCTTCCCTTCCTGTGGGTGGTACTGGACCTTCTGCCTGAGTCTGTGGCCAGTCAGCAAAGCCACCCTAGTGCACACCCGGCCATCTCCTTTGGAAGTGGGGGTCCCTGCCTGAGGACCAGGCAGGGGATCCCCGAGCCTCTCTGAATCCTCCCTTCCTGGGAGGCCCCCAGGGGCATTTGCTGCCACAGGCTGACTTCCACGAGTGCCCAGAGCCTGGTCCCCCAGCCAAGGACTGGTATCCACTTTCCACTGCTGAGCTACCTCAGGTGGGGGCCGGGGGATGGGGCTGAACCAGAAAGCTAGACAAGGGGTGGGAGGCTAAAAGTTAACCTGGAGAAGGCACCCAAAGGCAGAGGTAGCTGCTGGCCCCCTCCCCACCTCCCAAAACAAGGCCAGCCCTCTCTTGTACCCCTTGGCCAGGCCTGGGGTCTGCTGCATGGCCAAGGCAAGGGTGCCTCCAGCCTGACCCCAGCCTCTAGGCCCCCTTTCCCCAGGCCACAGTTGGGCACTGCTTTCCACTGACAGAATGAAAGGCAGCCGATGGGTCTCCCTACTCCAAGAAATGGAATGCAGGCACCTTGGTAATAACCTGGCAAAGGCAAACCCAGCAGAAACCATGTAGACCCCGGTGGAGCTCCAATGTGGGATTCCGGAGAAAGCTGGAGTGGTGGAAGGCCTCCGCTTCCTGCTTCCTTCCCTCTCCAACACACGGAGGTCTTCTACATTGCCGCGATCTGAGGGTCCCCCTCACAGAGCCCGAGAGAGACCCCGGCTGCTGGGCTGCTGGGTTCTCGCGTCGGACACCAGACGTTCTTAGGTTGGGTTGAAAGAGAATATGCTTAAAAGGCCTGCTTCCGAGCTTTCCCCAGCGCCATCGGGCCACAGTGGACTTGACAACGTTCTGGGTCCCCGCCACCTCCCGAGACTCTCGGCACATGCCGTCCCCCTAGCCCCCCAATCTGAGGCTGTTTTTTGTTATTGGGTATAGGCAGATGAGGAGAAGCTGTTGAGAACACTCGGCTCGCAATTAAACCGAATCTCGCTACCAAACCGACAATAATCATCTGGTATTAATCAAGCCGTGCCTCTGCCTCGCGCTGAGGAAAACAGAGGGACAGCTTGCCTCCCTGTTCATCCGAAGGGGGCTGTGAAATGCTGCACGACCCTTTAAAAACAGCAACAAAAACTCTGTGCCCTTCTGAGACGGTTTTTGCCAAATTAACCCAAGTGCATATTTTCACACCAGCCACGTCAGAAAGGAAGGAAGCCGAGTGCTGGATCCACTGTGTTCACCACCCCTGCGGGCCCTGCTGGGACAAGCGATGACCTTGCATGTTACATCCATCTTGAATAGTATCTTTGTCATTACTGTTATCATCTGAAGTGTTAAATTGTTGCCAGAATCGATACAAGTGTGCTTCTTTGAATTTATTTTATCCTGGTGTTGTTTCTAACATCTTTGTTAAGAGGCCAATTAATTTCCAACCCATCACCCCAGTGAAGTTTATATATAATGAGGGCTCCCTTACCGTGCTTTTTGGGTTGTGTGTGTATGTGGGAATTCTATCACAATGGATTACTTTAGCAGCCCCTCCATGCCCTGACCACCCCCCACCCCCGTGAGCAGCGGGAATTGGAGGGATTTTCCCAGTGGAACCTTGAAAGGCCCACAAGGTAGCATCCTAATGTGTGTGTTTGTTTTCCCCCAGATTCGTGGGTGTGAACGCCTCGGACATCAACCACACCGCCGGCCGATACAACCCTTCCCTGAAGGTCCCCTTCGATGCTGGCTTTGAAGGCCTGGGGGAGGTGGTGGCCTTAGGCCTCTCGGCTAGTGCCAGGTACACGGTTGGCCAAGCTGTCGCTTACATGGCACCCGGCTCTTTTGCCGAGTACACAGTGGTGCCCGCCAACATGGCCACTCCCATGCCCTCTGTGAAACCCGAGTACCTCACGTTGCTGGTAAGTGGCAGCACGGCCTACATCAGCTTGGCCGAGCTTGGAGAGTTGTCGCAAGGACAGAGAGTTTTGGTGACAGCCGCGGCTGGGGGGACAGGCCAGTTCGCCGTGCAACTTTCCAAGAGAGCGAAGTGCCATGTCATCGGGACCTGCTCTTCCGAAGAGAAGTGCTCTTTCCTGAAGACCATCGGCTGCGATCGCCCCATCAACTATAAAACGGAGGATGTGGGTGCTGTCCTTCAACGGGAGTACCCGGAAGGCGTGGACGTGGTCTATGAGTCCGTGGGGGGAGGCCTGTTCGACTTGGCCGTGGATGCGCTGGCCACCAAAGGTCGCTTGATCGTAATTGGGTTTATCTCTGGCTACCAAACTCCAACCGGCCTCTCTCCCATTAAAGCCGGAGCGCTGCCAGCCAAACTGCTGAGGAAGTCTGCCAGCGTGCGGGGTTTCTTCCTGAACCACTACTTCGCTCAGTACCGGGCAGCCATGGACAACTTGCTTAAGCTGTGTGAGGGCGGGGAGCTGGCGTGTGGGGTGGACCTAGGGGAGCAGTCTCCAGGGGGCCTGTTTACGGGCTTGGAGTCTGTATTCCGCGCTGTCGATTATATGTACACGGGCAAAAACACTGGGAAAATTGTCGTTGAATTACCTCACTCTGTCAGCAGTAAGCTGTAAAAACAGAGCAGCGAGATAAATCAAACGAGCATGAAAATGGGCACTTTAGAGCTTCCGAATTGCGAAAAATCGATGTATTTTTAGTTGGTAAAGGATATAATGTTTCTTCAAACCAATGTTAAGGTGTTAATGAATCCGTTTCTCTCTCTCTTTCTCCCCCCACTCCCCGTTCCTCCCTCGTTAAAAAAAAACCTTTCCCGGAGGCTCAGAGGTAAGGCCAGCACACCCGCTCCTCCAGTTGTGAAGGGATCCTTCCAGGGTGTATTGTTCCAGGGACTAAATGAGTTCCTGATGTCAGAGCAGCCCACGGCAGCCGCTTTGTCGATTGCCTTAGGACTGTTCACAGATACTCCGGTGCTCTGGGGTCCGTGGGTCTTGGGTGGACTGCTTCCCTAATACTTGGGGGAGGCAGCAAACCCCTGTTGGCTCTTGGAAGGATCCAGGTTGTCGAGGGAGGCTGCAGTGGTAATCACCAGGGACTGCCTCACTAGAAATCTTGATACAAAGTTATTTGAGAAGATGGAAAAGATGGGGTGAGAGCAGACTTTGGAAAGACCTCTCCGCTGTTTGAGGGCTTTTAACCTCACCTACCCTGGGGTGGAAAGGAGCATGTTCCAGGGTCGTCTCAAAAGCAAACTCGTGATGAAAGAGCACATGCGCTCGGCCAGCAGGTTTTCAAAAGGGGACTCGCCGGGAGGCCGTTACAAGCCCGTGTGTACACAGGGGAGGGAGGGCATGCGTGCAGACAAGCACATGCCCACCCCCCTGGGTGGGAGCCTTCACAACAGACTCCTGCCGGAAACCGGAAGTGGAAATCAAAAACCGCCCAGCGTGCCACCTTCACAGATGGAGGGATAGAGAACGGCAATGTGTCTCAGGGTCGGGTCACTGACCCCCGATGTCACCCGCCTTCACTGACCACACGCCAAAGAGGCCTGGGGCCAATCCTTGACCTCTGAGGGCCCAGCGCCTGGTACCTGGAGACCACCCCCTCTAGTGCCTTCCCAGTGGACTTGCATGGAAAGGGCTCTGGGAAAATGGGGGCCCCTGTCCAATTGCTCCCGCCTGTCCCTGGGAGGAGCCAGGCCCCCCGTGCTACCGAAGATCTGTTAGTATCTATTTTACAAGATTTACTCATTTTCATTCATTTCCAGGTACCTAATGTAGCTGCTAGCATGCATGCACAACAATACAATTTATATGGTAAATGGAGCCAAATAATGGCCTCACTGAACGTTATGGCTGTACTGGAGGGGGATGTCACGGTAAATAGCTGCCAAATTATGGCTCATGCTGAAGTGTCACACAACTGCACGGAAGACAAATAGCACGAGAGGCTATTGCCACTGTGACGCCCCTGAGTTATGAAGAGGAGTCGCCGGCCGAGGGGAGGCTCTCTGTGCCCTCATTATCGCAAAGAGCTGCTGGCGCGGGGGCGCGGGGCGCTGGCTCGGCCAGTGCGGGCTCAGTGATTGATCTGTCCCTCTCAGACCCCACAGCTGTGGCAAAACAGAAAGGGACTTTGCCTGCCTCTGCCCTGCACAAACAAAGAGGGAGAATGGAGCTTTTATGAATGTGACCGGGGCCCCGAGAAGGCCGTCATCGAATAGTCTAATCAGAGGACAGGCTGAAATCCCACATGGCTGGCCTGGCTTGCCATGCAGACAGATGTGGAACATCAAGGCAGGGAGGCCCTGCGGGGTGAAGATGCCAATCATGGGGACGTGGCCAAGTCAATGGCTACTTCAGCGCGGAAGCCCTGGTTGCTTTGCTTGGTGACGGGAGGGTAAGCAAGAGATGCCAGTATTGTAGGAATGAGTCCCGCTAACTGCAGAACAGATCAGCGTTGTGTTGTGTAGGGGAGAACATCCTGAAATCCCACTCTGTTTTAAAAATAATAATAAAAACTCAAAACACCTGGGTTTAAAATAAGATCCCATCCGCAAACCTCATGCCCTTTCTCCCGACCCACACAAACTCTGAAACTATTGCCAAGCTGTTTGCAGGTATATGAAAGATTCCACCCACTCAGATAATGCCCCAAAGTGATTTAGCCTCCTGAACGCCCTCCCCCTCCCACACACACTTTTTTTTGGTAATCCTTTTGAAAAATGATTTGTAAATTGCAGGTCATAGTTCAGCCCCCATTTGGCTCTTTGGAGCGTATTGCTCAGACCTGCCACTAATGGGAGGTGAAGTGCTGTGAGCACTCCACACCTCCCTCCTGAAGTGGGGTCCCCACCCCAACGAGGACCACCCATCACTTAGCTCCTTGTCAGTCTTTGTCTTAGAGAAGTGGCCAGCCCTGAGCCATCACGGGGATAAATGATCGCTGCGTCCTCAGCACGGCCTTCCCCACACGCCAGCCGTGAGGTCACTGGCGGGGCACAGAGGACACGGCTCTCGGCTCTCCGAGGCCTGCAGAGAGACCAAGGCACCCTGAAGATTGCTTACAGTTAAGGCGTGACTTCTAGATGCCTCCACATTGGGTTCACAGGCAGGAAGTAAGCCACTCGGCGATGTCACCGAGGGTCCAGCTGAGGATGATGACAACTGGTGTCAGGTTCCAGCACTAGAAGACAAAAGGAAAGTTTCAGATCGGAGCTGTTTGTACAGAAACCCAGATTCCAGGCGGCGCATGTTCTGTGCATGATCTTTGTGTGTCTCCACCTGAATAAGAATAAAGTTTCTCAGCGGCCTGGCGAATGCCTGCTCACGGTCATTGGGACCACATTAGGCGTGTATTGCGTGTGACTGGCTGTTGCTCATCCCAGCGTCCAGGAGGACTTCACGCCCTTGGCCCCACATAGACCTGCTTTTTCTGCGCTCACGACCACAAGACGCTGCAAACTCCACAGATGGTCACATCTAAGGCACATGCCTGCCTGGGGGACCTGGGGTTTTGGCGTCCTGTTTCCAGTGTTTTGGGGGTAACATAACAGCCACCCAACTTGTACCTGGGTAATGTTTTAACCCCTTCACAATTAGCGGGAATTGACTGTTGGGGTTTTCCTGTGAAATAGGGAGAGCATGGGTGGTAGGTAGCGGGGCTATAAGCACTGCAGACTGCTTACTTGATCATTTACCATATGCACACGTGGAATGAGTAGTGCCGTATTTTAGATGTTTATAAAAACAGATGTGGACTTTTCAGAATGGATATGGTGTGGGGCCGGGGAAGAAGACCATGTGATCAACTGAAGACTGTCCTGCATAAGGGTTACAACGTGAGTGCAGTGGAGCTCTGTCGAGTGTAGAGAATGCTCTGAGCTGATGAACTGAGCATTGCAATTCTATACTACGAGTCATGAGGCGCCTTGGTCACCCAATGGGTTATGCTTTCAAAACAACCAGCCATTCCCTGTGAGAAAGATGAGGCTATGGTGTAGTGGTTACCCATTGGGCTGCAATCTGCATGGTTTGCAGTTCGAAACCACCAGCAGCTACTTGGGAGAAAAATTGGGCTTTCTACTCTCATAAACAGTTACCGTCTCGGAAACCCACAGGGGGTCACAATGAGTCAGCATTCACTAGGTGGCTGTGAAGAGTTAAAGTCTCAGAACCCCACAGAGGCAGTGCTACCCTGTGCTGTAGTCACTCAGAGTGGATTCAGTGGCAGAGTGTGGCTTTGGGGGTGTCCCTGTGGGTGACAATGGGTGGGTGGGTATGCTTTGTACTCCCCACTCTCTGGATCCAGCAGATACTCCCTGTTGTTTATGGAACTTACTTATCCACACAAAATCTGTCTGTGCGAATGCCGCCAGCCCCGTGGGCTGTTTCTCCGGAGGTGTTTGCCGTGGCTTTGTCCACAGGGCAGTTAGGTTCCCGAAACCATTTTCCCAGATGCAGCCCTGGATCCGTTATTTACCTTCTGATGTCGGAAGTCAAAACTCTGACTCGGATGTGGGTACTCGCTGCCTGAGGATGTGGGTGCTGTCAACTGTGCATCCAGTCTGAGCCCGTTCGCTGTCATGTGACTTCACAAGCGGAGACCCGTGTGGTGAAAGCCATCCACTGCTGCCCCCACAGGACAGGCTTGGGGCATCGGCCAAAACACTAAAAAGCTACTCAGCCTATGTAATACCACACCGGCCTACCGCAAGGAGGAAGCGTGTTCTGGTCTTAAGTAGGCCAAAGCAGGAGCCTTTTGAGGGACTGGCCATCAGGGAAACCCCAGGGATCTCCAAGGGTTTTCAAACCCAACAGGGCTCTGCCGTCGAGTTGATTCCAAGTGGTGGTGACCCCTGTAGGAAGGGCTAGAACTGCCCCCACGCGTCTCCGAGACTGTCACTTTATGGGAGCAGCATGCCCCATCTGGTTTCAGGGGCTGGTTTCCCGGAAAGAAGGGATCACAAGGTCCTCCCTCTGAGGTGCTCTTTGGTGGACCTCAACCTCCAGTGCCTCTGGTAGCAGCCGAGGGCTGAACTTTCCACCACCCTGGGACACCTGTCTCTCTCGCTAGGGCTGTAACAGCTGGTAGCACGGTGAAGTGCTCAAACTGAAAGTTGCTGGTTGAAACCAGCTGCTGCCCCAGGGGAGCCATGTGGCCATTCACATCCATGAAGACTTCAGTTCTGCACCCTGCAGGGTCGTGAGTCAGAGAATGAGTCCGTCGCAGTGGGTCTGAGTTCGGGGTGTAGCTGGGAGGTGACAGCGAGTGGCGCAGTTGGAGCCCCCCAGGAGAGTGACTCTCTCGATCCACATTTCTTATCCTTGGTGGGTTCGCCCTTCAATGCTCACTCTAAGGCACTCCCAGCCCCAGGACCCACAGCCCATGGGGAGCGGTGAGGGACGCAGCAGGAAACACCCAGAGGGACGGCAGTGTCCCTTGGACTGAAGGCCGAGTGCCCAGACCACATGCTGGTCCTGCCTTGGGGATTGCCCGTGCCCTCTGCCTCTGGCCAGCTGGGCACGGCACTGCCTGAAACCCGGTCCAGAGGGGCGCAGAAGATGGTAAAACAGCACAGTCTATACGGCCAGTCCTCTAAGCCACGTCTTTTTTTTTTTAATTGTGGCAAAAATATATACAACACAGCATTGCTCCAATCCAACAACTTCTACATGTACAATTCATTGATTATAATCGTCGTGTTGTACAACCATTGTTGATATCCTTTCCCAAATTATCCCACCA